CTCTGGAGCGCACCTCTTTCCAAACAAACTCCGCCTTTTCAGTCGCCCGGTGATGGTTAACAAAATCAAGAAATCGCCAAAGATCCCAATTTGCACAAGATGTCACGGCTTCCACACAGAAAGAAACTGTGCGCGACCCCTACATTGCGAGAAGTGCAGCAGTCCCGCACACTCAGGCGGATGTCAAACACCAGCTCGCTGCTGCAACTGCCTTGGCCCCCATCCCACTCTCAGCACTGACTGTCCAGCGAGGCCCAAAATAGTCTCTGGATGTATAGAACACATCTCCCGCCGTCAGCTACACTCAATACGCGAAGCTGGCAGAAGAGCATTCATCTCAGCTCATCAAACTTCAGCGGAGAAGAGCAACCCAGAGCTAAACTCTAGAGACTCCACCTCATCCCCTCTCTCAGCTCCGCTGACACCAGTCACTAGCTCCCAGAGCAACCAGACAGACTCAATGACCTGCTCTCAAACAGGCACCAAGATCACACCAAGTCTGAACCTCCACTAATGAAGAGCAGTCACAGCCCTCCTCACAAATCTACACTCACTGTATATCAAGCCAATGTAGGAAGACAGTCAAGCTCCCACAACATCACTCTCTCACTAGCAGACGAAAGAGCCTGCGACATTGTGGCCATTCAGGAACCCTGGATAGCTACGGACCTCTCCACCCGCCTCTCCAAAAGCCATCCCTCATACAAATGCTTCACCCCGCTCTCCTCCAACTGGACCAAGAGGCCCAGAGTACTGCTCTATGTCAGAAATGGAAGGGCCCTTGCGCCAACTCAACCTATAGCAGATATCTCAAGGGATGTTGTCTGTGTCTCAGTTAAGATCTCTAACTCCAAAAGGGCTAATATCTACAACATATACAACGCCCCATCTGGCGCCACAGATGCAGGTCAAGGCCTTCAAGACCTTCTCTCTCTTACACACACCACAGAGACCATCCCCTGGATGGCATTAGGAGACTTTAATATTAGACACACAGCATGGGACTCTACAACTGATAGGCATCCTCAAGCAGGAGAGAATCTGTATAACTGGGCAATCTCTCTGGAACTCCAGCTTCTCAACCCGGCTGAATCCCCTACACATAGACAAGGAGGCACACTTGACCTTGTCTTCTGTGCTGCCAACTCAGCTATCTGTCATATTGCTCCTGAACTGCACTGCACCTCAGATCATGAAACTCTTATCACAACAGTTCAATTATCACAGACTCAGACTCAATTGGTTAAGGAGAAGAAGCTTAGCCTCACGACCTGCGATGCTGATCGCTTCTTGCAACTACTCACTCCCTTCTCCTCACCAGTCTATGAGGACGTGAATGAGGAAGCGGCGGACATTGTGAAATCTCTCCAACTGGCTCTACAAGGCTCCTGCTCTCTCGCCCCAGGACCCAAGAGTCATCATGCCCCATGGTGGACCCCAGCAGTCAAGATAGCCAGAAGAGTATATCATGCAGCACGTAGACACGGCCCTTGTCAATCAGAACAAGTGGCATTCCGGGCGGAAATTAGAAAAGCTAAGAGAGCATGGAATCGCCAGTGAATTGAGGAGGCTTCCTCCTTATCAGATGTCTACAAGATTGTCAAATGGCATAAATACCAACCTCAAGACCCCACTCCTCCTTTACGACATCCCGACGGACACCTAGAACAATCTTGTGCTGGCAAATCTTCTCTACTGCGCGAGACACTTCTGGCCAGACATCTTGACGCGGAAGATATCCCAGAGCATACACCAACAATCCCATGCAGAGAGATACCCTGGATGCCCCTTACAGAGCAGGAAGTCTACAGAGCCACCTGCCAGACACTTAGCACATCTCCTGGCCTGGATGGCATTACAGCCAAGGTTCTTCAAAAGGCATGGCCAGTGATAGGCAATCGAATCGTTCTACTCTTTCAACACTGTATAGATCAAGGAATCCACCCCCAGAGCTTCAAGAAGGCTGAGGTGGTGATTATTCCAAAGTCAGGGAAAAGAGATTACTCTCTACCAAAGTCTTACCGCCCAATCGCACTGCTATCCTGCCTCAGCAAAGGGCTGGAGTGTCTGATAGCTAGACAAATGTCCCATCTCACTCTCCATCATCACATTCTAGCAGAAGATCAGTGTAGTGCTGTTCAACAGAGGTCTGCAGTAGACCTCACCACTGCACTAGCCTGTGACGTACAAGGGGCATGGGACAAACACCTTCTGGCTGGCATGATCACCCTAGATGTCAAAGGGGCCTTCGACAGAGTCCTTCGAGGCCGGCTTCTAAGACGTCTACAGGAACAGGGCTGGCCGGCAGTTCTGATAAAGTGGGTAGCGTCTTTCCTCGATCAATGACTAGCTTTGATTCGACTAGACAGCGTTCAATCGAAGGTGTTTCAGATTCTCTGTGGCCTTCCACAGGGATCCCCTGTCTCACCAATTCTCTTTCTGCTCTACGTAGAACCCCTCCTCCAGCTTACCAAAGGCCGGTTTGGGTACGCAGACGACATTGCAATCCTGGAGACTGGAAGCTCCCTTGAGCAGGTAGGAAGTCAGCTTCAGAATTCTCTCAACCACACCCTGGAATGGGGTATTGACAATGGAATCTCATTTGACCCAGCCAAGACGGAGCTTCAATACTTTCATAAAAAGATCAAGTACTCGGAGCCCTCCATCTCCTTTAATGAACAGACAATTTCCCCCAATAACTACACCAGATGGCTAGGGGTTTTCTTTGACAGAAAGTTACTCTTCAGAGAACATATTCGCCTTGCGTGCACTCGAGCCAGAATTGTTACAGGACATGTTAAATCACTAAATGGAGCCTCATTTGGAAATCAAACACATTTGCTCAGACAAGCAACTCAAAGCTGTGCCTTCAGCACTCTGTTTTATGGAGCTGAGACCTGGTTCTCGAAGCGAACCTCTCAGGCAGCCATTGGCAAGATTCAGGTAGCCTTCAACAACGCTGCTCGAGCCATTCTACCTGTCTTTGCCACAACGCCTACCCCTGTTCTCCTACGCGAATCAAGCTGGGGCCCAGCCAAAGCCTGGCTAGAAAGAATACATGACTGACTAGCCGTTCGCGTAGCTGCAGCCGACCCGTCACATCCCCTACGCCGAAGATGGTACACCTCACGTTTTAAATGGATTAGACGAAACATTAAAACGACGGCCATCACACCCGGCTCAGGGTCCTTGCCTCCTTGGGACAATCCTGGCATACCAAATAGAGAGCAAAAGGCACTAGAAATTGGGGCTGTGGGACAAGCTGCAGGACCAGCAGCTTTCCAAAACTGGCTTCAGAAAGCTGTATCCCCCCTTGATCTCATCACATATACTGATGGCTCCAAAGACAGCCAAGGAGTTTCAGGCGGAGGCTACTGTCTATACCGAGGAACAAATCAATCTCTGGAGCTTGGTAAGCTGCCTCTGGGCCGCACCGCCGAGGTCTTTGATGCTGAAGTGCTTGCAGCAGTTGCCGGTCTCGAGGCAGCGCTACGGAACCCCTTCTCTATGTTCGCACGGCACATTATAGTGGCTCTAGACAATGAAGAGGCTGCAATAAGACTCCACACAGACACGCCCACACGAACATCTTTTCTCGCCTTTGCTAAGTTCAACGAACTCCGCAGGTCCTGGACAAAACAGGGCCCAGGTCCAGCCGGCCCGAGATGGGTCTATGTTCGATGGTGCCCCGGCCACGCTGGGATTCCAGGCAATGATGCCGCAGATGCTGCGGCCAAGTCAGCCTGCACAATGGAATGCACTCGCCGCACTCTGACCCTGGCGCGGGCCAAATCCTATGCTAAAGAACGCTTCAATGCCTCACTGCAACAATACTGGAGCTCCAATAGCACATCACGATACAAGGACCTCAATATCCCAATGCCAAAAGGACCCTCCCCTGAGCTCACTCTCCCCCGAAGGAACCTAGGCCACCTGCTGGCAGCTAGAACAGGCCACGGTGACTTTGCAGCCTATCATCACAGATGGGCACATGACGACGCACTCCTCACCTGCTCTTGCGGCCGAGATAAGACCCCCGAGCACTTCTTCTTTTGCTGGAAAGGCCGGAACATTGAACGAATTAAAACCCCTGAAGCATGCCGAGGACCAAAGGAAGCAATTGACTGGCTTCTCAGCACAGTAAGAGGAGCTACGACCTTCTCTACCTGGTGCACTAATACCCGCTTCTTCATCGACATCCAACGCCGCTACTAGAACCTGTTCAACATCCGACTTCTCCCTCCCCCTCTCTCTTTCCTATGCTCCTTATATACATTTCTCATCACCCCTACACACCACCCTAGAAGCCCTTGGCTTCCTCAGTCCCGTAATCTTCGGCTACTACGCCATTCAGAACCTCCAGGACGGGGGCTACTCTGTACATAGACTCTCAAGAGGGCTTCGGCCGACTAGACATGTCAGGCAGCAGACTAGCTGCTGCGCTGGCACGCCTGATACCCTTAGGGAGGTGCTGTGGCCGCGACGGCAGACTATTCTTAGTCAGCTGATCACGTGCCTCCAGGCGTTAAATAAGTAATAATAATAATAATAATAAAGCAGTTCAATACGCACAAGAAAGTTATCCTCCATTAGCATCCATTAACATGGACAGCCCAGATGATCGAATGCAGGGGAGACTGCTATTATTCTTTGGAGAGAAGAGTTAGAGTTAAAATGAATGACTTAGGGAAAGGACAGAATAGGGTATATTGGTCTATTTGTAGGCAGATGTTGGAAAACAGACAATGTGCAGTGAGCAATTCCAAATCTCCATCCATGCAAAATAAGAATAGACCTGAATGGGAAAGTCTGCGAACAAGAAGGGAAAAGACGAAATGAAGCTTCTGATCAAAAGACAAAGGTGAAAACAGACGCAATTACAAGACCAAAGAACTCCGTATTTGCTAGTACAATAGTGGCTGACAAGCAAGACAATACGAGAATAAATGGAAAAATTAGCTATGCTTCTCCCATCCCTGTAAGCAATGAAAACCAAACTATTATATATTCTTGAACTTGCCATTTTGTATGAGTGTTAACGGGGGGTCCGAATTCACACCATTGGTGACTTCGTCATGCAAGCCGTAGTCGTCCTCATCACCGTTCCCCAGCTCCCCATTTCGACTACACTGCTTGCGTATCCGCCATTGCCACTCCCACAGCACTGGCAAGAACGTCCAGAGGTCAAAGTTTGGCCAGAGAGTGTCCAGGAACACGATCTCCGTGTCCTGGTGGCACTGCCATAGCATGAAATCGCTCAGTCGCTCCACGCCAGATGTCCGGATGAGGAGATCCAGAGCCGGGCAACCGGCAGTAAGCATGTGGTCCGTAATTGTTTGCGAAGTGATGGTCTCTGGTGAGAGGAAGATCAGCTGGTCGCTGTTTGGTGGGTAGCCAGTGTAGCCTTCTGGAATTGTGGGGATTTTTCCTGCGCCTTGGCGGGTGGTTGTTGCTGAGGAATATGATGAAGGGTGTTCGGAAGGGGGATCGGCGCTGGAGCTTCTCCCGTCTCGTTTACCACGAGGTTGTAAGAGGGAAGAATCTGTATCGATTCCATTGGGCATGGCCCCTTCCCTTTGTATGCTTTCTTTAATATGGGTTTCGGAAAAGGCACGCCGTGACCTATTGCACCGTGGTAATTGCGTCCGATCGAGAGGAGTACTGTACTCGATAACTGTGTCCCGGATTGCCGTTGTTATCTCGTCTCTCGATGTGTAAGGGAAACAAATATTCAGGATAGCGTCCCCATTTCGACTAGTCAGCTCAACCGCCTTATCGATTGCCTCTAATACCTCTGGTTTGAGTAGGTCTCTGCGTCCCAGAACACGCACACTCGCGCCGTAGCGATCCAGCAGATCTCCATGTTGAGACAGCTGGGCCAGTTTCACTCTTGCCATATCCATCAGCGCATCGACCTCGTATTTCGATCTCTTGAAATTCTCAATACTGAAGGCATATACCGTCACCACCCGAACTCCAGCTTTGTAGCACACTTCTAGTATCTAAGCATGCATTCATTGTGGTTAGCATCATCATATCATTTAAAGAAGGCCACGACTTGGCCACACATATAAAACATTTCCCATCTCAACAATCTCCCAACACTCCCAAACCAAAAAATTAGTATAGGAAATCACCCCTAAACAACTACCATAAAAAAAAAAAAAAAAAAAAAAAGAGAGAGACCAGAGCACCAACCTTTGCTAATGCCTCAAACCCCAAATTGTGACCCTCAAGCTTCTCTATCCGATGATGCCTAGCAAACCGTCTATTGCCATCCATAACAAACGCCACATGTTGCGGAACCGGCCCTTCTCTGAGAGCACCAATCATCAGCTCCCGGAGATGTGACAGAGCCCACTCAATTGGAGGAGAGGAGAGAACCCATCTCCGCATTCTCGAAAGATGCATCGACGAGGAGGCCATTGTGTGCCGTGATAGGTAGTGAGATTTTCTGGGCGAAAGAAGTCTCTTCTTCCTGTCGGTCTACAACAGGATAGATGGCTGCAAGAGAAGCGTACGGGCAGTTGAACGGGAAAGCAGGTGGCAGATGAAACCGATGGGCTTGTATAAGGAGGGAAGGATTCGTTGAGAGCAGGGGAATCAGTGAGGATCAGTCCGACGATTAGCGATGGGGACAGGGCGGAACGAGGTGGAAAGAGTCTGGTTTTAAAGGAGCAGGCGGGCTCGTGGCGATGTTCCTGTCTTTACCTCTTTAATCCCTTTTTTCACTGGTTGTCTACGTGGAAGTTGGACGATGTGATACATATAGGCAAAGCTCAGTGAAGCCGCCCCCCCTTGGTTCTATATTCCAAACACCTGTAGCAATAGGAAAACAATCCCCAAAAGAACCCCAAGATCCCAACAATTAGGACGAAGAGAGACTTTTATCTCCCCTTAAAACCCCAAAGATGAAAGGTTAAAATGATCCCGAGAACGCGGGGGAGGAATATCAACCAGTCATGGAGTTGGTCAACATGGGACGGGACAGGAGCTGAAGGGGAAAAAAAACCCTGAATGATGTGCGGAGTCCAAAAATAAATTAGACAAGTTAAAGAACGATACAGAGACGAAAATATCCCTTTTTGCCACCAGTATTCTCGTGAAGTTGGGGGGAAGAATATCTATATCACATTCATCCTTCAAGGGTGTTTGTTGTCCTTTACAGAATTTAAAGGTTACATAATATTATCGCATCATGAACCTTTTTTTTTTTTTTTTCCCTTGATTAATTTTTCTGGACATGGTGTTCATTTACGGCTACAACCTTGAAGGCACCAACCAACCAAACCCCAACCCAACAACTTTCAGCGGTTTGAACCATGCCGAGCGTGGAGACTGGAGTGCCGGGTGGCTTACGGCTGACGCCAACATTTCTTTCGCATCTTCGTACGAGTAGCCCTGTGGGTAACCAGATGCGGGCATTATTTTGTCTGTTGGCTTTAACGGGATACTAAGTTTTGACAAAGAATGAAGATCGGGGACGGAAGAAGCGGACGGATTTCTCCACGTATAACCGTTTAAGGCAGAATCGAATTAAGCTCATTTATCTTATTTTGGTTGTTTTTTCACCCTCGTCACCAGTGGAGAAACTCGGGTGGGGAGAACGCGTACGAGAACCTTAAGCTGCAGAAATAAACCAGGGTGGGGTTTTGTACTGTGCGGTGTGAGGAAAACAATGCATTGCTATTATTATTATTATTATTATTATTATTATTATTATTATCGCTCTTTTGGAAGTTATATGTTTTGAATATAGACAGAGCAAATGTAAATAAACAGAACTATACATCGATTTTATTGTCCAGGAATGATGGCAATAAAATGGCATGAACATCATGATCATAATGGTGGTGACGACGATCATGGCCCGAAGCTTCTTATAACCCATGCCCTTCCTCACCCCATTCCTCACTTCCTATAACTAAGAACACCACCACTACGCCTACTCCCGACTGGCTCTCTGGGAAAGAGAAATAGAATTTGGATACAATGAATATGCTATCCAAGGAGCCAAGCTGCTGAGCAAACACTTCCATCAGTAGCCAACCTCATCCCCAACAATGAAAGGTTCCTGGCAATTCAACAGCCATCCGCATATATTATGTGTTTATCACTCGTCCCATATCTGACATGGTTTCGTTTTTATCTACATATATTCAATGATTTGGCAAGGAACGGAGGTGCAAGGGTAGGGGAAAATACCAATACATAACTTCCCTTCTGACCCCATTCACACACACACACACACACACACACACACACACACACACATAACACACACATACACAATTGACATCACAAATCCTTCTTTGTCTCCTCACCCAGCGAAGACTCAGATCCAACAGAGCTCGTCATCTCCCACCCGAAATCCTCGCTCTGTTTCCTCCTCAGCTGACCGCGCTCCTTCATTGCCCCACGAATCCGCTTACTAACCTCTTCAAAACTCTCCTTGGAATTCAACGTACTAAACGCTTTCAACGGCATACTTCCGGACCCAGTTAAGCCGCCGCTCGAACTGCTCCGACTCCGGCTCCGACTGGGCGGGCGCGTAGAGAAAAACCCGATCTTGCTGATATCGTGGAACGATTCGTTGGGTGGTAGGTGGCTTGGCACAAATGACTCTCTTCTGGATGTAAGTGTCGAGGAGTCTGGCTCGTCCGCCGCAAATCCAAGATAATTCTCTCTATATACTGTGAATGGATCATTTGTGAATAGGTGTTCCTTAAACGGATCCGCGATGACCCTGTCAGAGTCGAAGTCGGGAAACATCTCCGGTCCAAGCGTGTTGATTAGCTCCGTTACTTCGTGTGAAAGCTTGGCTCGTCGCTTCCGGAGCTTAACGAGGGTGTTCGCAGATGTGGGGTTTAGGGATAGAACGAGCGGGCGTAGGGATTTCAGGATATCCATTCCTATCTCACCAGTTCGCAATGCTGCATAGGTAATCGAGGGGAATAGCCAGCATCCAAATATTACCACTAGCCAGAGTGGGACCCATTCGGGAACGTACCCCTGGACACGATTTCGATAGGTCCAGTATGTGAGAAGAACGGTGTAGAATGTATAAAGAAGAGGTGCAAAAGCTAATGCGACTAGTAGTTTCCACGTAGCCATGACATCGCGACCCTGGATTTTGACGCTAGACGCAGCCAATGCCTCCTTCGATTTTCTTATCGAAATCATCTTGGTAGCTACGAACACAGGCGCGAAAAGAACAAGGCCTGGCAACGTTCCTATGGCCATGATACTGATCTTTCCAAGGCGATATATCAGGGTCGAAACCACCTTGACGATGGAAAACTTGGCATACTCTATCTGATGGTCGCGGATACCCAGCAGCCGCAGCTGCCTGTTATAGTCCATAACGGACTTTTTCAATTTTACAATTCTAGGATCGTCCTTGTATTGAGCATATCCCTTCACCATGCGACGGTTTAGCTCTACAACCATTGGGAGCGGAAGTTTCTTTCCCTTTGGGTTGTATAACCGCCTTGCTGCGTGGATTAACTTCAGACATGTTAGTAAAATTGCTCATCATTTCACATGGACAAGGGGAATGCAAACGAACCATAAGTGTTTCATAGTCGGGTCCAACTACCGTCACGGCGACAAGGGCCTGATAGATAGTGTCCAATAACCTGCCCACAGCTTCGCGTCGTTTACCAGCTTTGTACATCTGAACAAGTTCCGGCGGCACTTCAATTGGGTTTCCGAATTCCACCACTGCCCGAGAGCGGAACTTATGGGCATGGAAGTAGTTCATACCACAGGGTACAATTTTTACGTCGCAGTCGGGATTTTCCGCTAGGGCACCCAGTGCCATCAATGCAACGCCAGCTACAGATATCTATCAGCTCTTATTCGGATAAAATCAACTTCCAGGGATCTACGAGTACCATACCTTTCAAAGGAAGTAAATTAGGTCTATCATGGCTACCACCTTCAGGAAATATGCCAACACAACCCCCAGAATTGAGAGTCTGAAATACCGCCTTATACACATGCGTCTGATCGACATGTGGAGCAACTTTAAATTTGGACCCAGTGAACCCTGAGAGGTCCTGTTCTGCAGCACTTCCAGTAAATTTCAAGTCATCAGAGATATCTGTGTGCCCAGTGAGCTGATAGAGAGCATCCTTGTGCATGAAAGGCTTCTTCAAAATGATTTCCTCCGGTCCACGAATCTCCCCAATATCAGTGGAATGAGCCTGGCCATTTATTGGCGGTAGAGAGATTGTGCCTCCAATTTCGAAATCCGGACCATCAAATTTTGTGCCAATGCCCCTCAAGAGCGTAGGGTTATTGACAGGGTCTGGTAGATATATGGTTCCCTGGACCGGTTTCAAGTTATCCATAGCTCTGGACACGGGCAATGCGCCAGCGGCTTTTGCCAACAGCCCGACGAATCTCCGCTGGAATGATTTTTCGGCGATAAGAAATGCTATTCGACGGTTGAGTTCTCTCCGTGCAACGAGCATCAAAATTAAGGAGTCCACAAACTATATATGGATTGATAAATGCGTTGTTCGTTAGCAATGTTCATAGCCGCCGCATAACTCTGATAAAAATGTACTATAATGTAGAACATACTTGATTGGCATGTGGGGCAGCCACAAGGATTATTGGTCCCCGTTTAGGAACCTTCCATGAACCCCGCGGGTGAACTTCTCTGAAGAAAAGATCGATAAGAACAGCTAAGAACCATAGCAATAAGTCGTAGAGCCATCCGATTTGGTGGCTAAGGGGCTTGTGAGCCATCTTTCACGGTGGTTTTTCCTTCTCGCAGTCTCCAGCAGTTTAACATAAAAATAATCGATATAAAAAATATAATTTCCTTGCAGTATCGCGCTTGCTATAAATGCTTGACTTTATATAAAGCGGGCGTAGGTTGACCGAGGATATCGAAATCGTGGGGGAGAGGTGGGCGAGGAACACGGTGAGGTGGAATTGTTCAATGGCGGCAGCCAAATGGGACAATCGGAAAATGTGGGTATTGGATGGGAATACTCTTAAAACCCGCAATCCAGATATCAAGCAAATGTGATTCGGTATAGCTCTTATAGGAGTGTATCGGTATAATGAAGGCTGGGGGGGAGGGGAGGGGGGGTGAGGGTTGCCTTCAAGCTAGCATAACTCTTGCGCGGACTAAATAGGCTCCCATCGAGCGCAGTCAGCAGCGAGTTGCGGGAGTCAGGAATGGGTATGATAAGGATGGAAGATATCAATTCTCTTCATCCTGAACACCTGGAGAGCGTCAGTTATCCTTCGTTGGGGGATGGCGAGAAGATATATGGCGGCAGTTGTGGCCAAGCCGGAGAGTGTGTGAGTGAAATCAAGGATCCGAGATTGTCAACGAAGATAAATATTCAAACCCACCCAAACCATCAATCAACCCACGAACTCCCTAGGCAGGTAACTAAGAAAATTAAACTAGGAAGACAACAGGTTTTTACTGCATTTTCTTGTATGATGTTTCTTTTCTTTTCTTTTCTTTTATTTTCTTTTCTTTTAAAATAACATCATCACCGGAGCGGTTAGTACCTATGTTTAGTTTTAAATAATGACCACAGACGTGGTAACTATGGTAGATATTTAAATCAGAAGTGAATATCTTGCAGCTCTACCGAATAACTAACAATATTGACATCATTTCCTAAGAAACGTGAACAGAAAACCTGAGGAAACGCAGAACCATGTGCTGTTAACCAGATCTACACAGTCCCTTTACCCACGCAAGCAACTTCGTGAAGGCCCATGGACATGTCACAACATTCGCAATCCCTCTTTCATGGCAATAAATCAATGGTGAATCAATCTGGCGGATGGAAAAGTTCCATTACATATCATCTCATGAAGATAGATCTGATCCCCCTGCATGCAGCATTCTGAAGATCCTTGCTTCATGATCCCCGAACCTCATGAACCAGGGGTGTTGGTTGATACGGAGCCACCATTACGCTGAGGTGCATGCAGATTAGTTGACCAGGGCAGCTGCCCATATTTCTCCTCTTCATTCGAAGAGGTTCATGCGAGATTTTCTCCTATGCGGATCACGCTCAGCATTCCAGTCTACAGAGAGGGTAAAGACATCCATGGATTGTTTTTGCTCATCCCTTTCCGTATCTTCTGGACTGCACACCCAAGGATAATCAGAAAGTACTTTACCATTAGGGATCTTTATATCAGGGAGCTAAAGACATTAAGTTAAGCAATGCAACCAATCAGAATCTTTTAAATGATGGCTACGCATATGCTCTCTTTTCATCTGGGAATTACGGCCGTGTCATGGGCCAGATTGAAATGCAAAAGAGCCAGCCAGTATCCTAATCCACGGTGAAGGAGAATATGTTCATGTTCTCCTCCACGTGTTTGTTGCATGGGCGGAAATGGTAGTTATGGAAAAGCGAAGTGCATAGACGTTTTGATAGCATGTGTGGGAAATGAACAAGACTCGGAGGCAATGATCAAAGCAGCATCTCCCACAATGTGCACGCAGTCATTGTCATATAAATTATCCATCCATGGAAAGCAATATTAATCAATTAATATATAAATTATGGTATAAAGCAATTATGGTAGCAACGCCTGCTGTTAAGGAGTGCGTAAGCTCTGACCCGCAGAGCGACTTTCAGCAATCCTCAACCGTTCCAAAAGCACGCTATTCCTCTTCTCCCACTCCGCTGCCCACTCCTCATCGCGGTCCGCCACAGCATTCTCAACCTGTATCTGACTCTCAATCTCAATCCTCCTCATGCGTTCCACAAGATGGCGATCCCGATCCTTCCACCGTATCTCCCACATATCGTCAACCTCATTCTTCGCCCGCTCGATACTCTCCGTCATCTGCTTCTGAAGATTCTCCAGTCTTTTCCTCAAATCGTCAATGGTGAAGTCTCGCGATCTCAACTCCTGGCGGTATACCTGATCGATCTCGTTCAGCCGCTCCCGCATCGCGGCCAGTTCCTGATCTCGCGCATGCAGCGCCTTGCGGTGATCACGGTC